GAGACACAAAAAAACCTTCAAAAAATCAATAAATCCAGGAGATAGTTTTCTGAAAAGATCAACAAAATAGACTGCTAGCCAGATTAATAAAAAAGAAAAGAGAGAAGAATCAAATAGATGCAATAAAAAATGATAAAGGGGACATCACCTCCAATTCCACAGAAATACAAACCACCATCAGAGATTACTACAAACAACTCTATGCACATAAACCAGTAAACCTGGAAGAAATGGATAAATTCCTGGACACTTGCACCCTTCCAAGTCTAAACCAGGTGGAAGTTGAAACCCTGAATATACCAATAACAAGGGCTGAAGTTGAGGCAGCAATTAATAGCCTACCAACAAAAAAGCCCAGGTCCAGATGAGTTCACAGCCTAATTCTACCAGATATACAAAGAGAAGCTGGAACCACTCCTTCTGAAACTATTCCAAACAATCCAAATAGAGGGAATCCTTCCCAAATCATTTTATGAGAACATCATCCTGATACCAAAACCCAGCAGAGACTCAAAAAAAAAAAAAAAGAAAACTTTAGGCCAATATCCATGATGAACATAGATGCAAAAATCTTCAATAAAATACTGACAAACCCACTGCAACAGCACACCAAAAATTTATCCATCATAATCAAGTAGGCTTCATCCTGGGGATGCAAGGCTGGTTCAACATAACACAAGTCTATAAATGTAATCCACCACATAAACAGAACCAAAGACAAAAACCACATGATTATCTCAATAGATGCAGAGAAGGCCTTCAACAAAATTCAACAGCTCTTTATGCTAAAAACTCTCAATAAACTAGGTATCAACGGAACATATCTCAAAATAATAAAAGCTATTTAAGACAAACCTACAGGCAGTATCATACTGAATGGGCAAAAGCTGGAAGCATTTCCTTTGAAATCCAGCACTAGACAAGGATGCCCTCTCTCACCACTCCTATTCAAAACAGTACTGGAAGTTCTAGCCAGCGCAATCATGCAAGGAAAACGAAATAAAGGGTATTCAATTAGGAAAGGAAGACGTCAAATTGCCTCTATCTGCAGATGATATGATTGTATATCTAGAAGACCCCATCATCTCAGCCCAAAATCTCCTGAAACTGATAAGCAACTTCAGCAAAGTCTCAGGATACAAAATCAAAGTGCAGAAGTCAAAAGCATTCCTATACACCAATAACAGACTTAAAGAGAGCCAAATCAAAAGTGAATTTCCATTCACAATTGCTACAAAGAGAATTAAATACCTAGGAATACAACTAACAAAGGATGTTAAGGACCTCTTCAAGGAGACCTACAAACCACTGCTCAAGGAAATAAGAGAGGACACAAACAGGTGGAAAAACATTCCATGCTCATGGTTAGGAAGAATAAATATTGTGGAAACGGCCATACTGCCCAAAGTAATTTATAGATTCAATGCTATCCCCATCAAGGTACCTATGACCCTCTTCACAGAACTGGAAAAAACCACTTTAAACTTCATATGGAACCAAAAGAGAGCCCGCATAGCCAAGACAATTCTAAGCAAAAAGAACAAAGCTGAAGGCATCACGCTACCTGACTTCAAACTATACTAAAAGCCTACAATAATCAAAACAGCACGGTACTGGTACCAAAACAGAGATATAGACCAATGGAACAGAACAAAGGCCTCAGAAGCAGCACCATACATCTACAACCATCTGATCTCTGACAAACCTGACAAAAACAAGCAATGGGGAAAGGATTCCCTGTTTCATAAATGGTGTTGGGAAAACTGGCTTAGCCATGTGCAGAAAGCAGAAACTGGACTTCTTACTGACTCCTTACACTAAAATTAACTCCAGATGGATTAAAGATCTAAACATAAGACCTAACACCATAAAAACCCTAGAAGAAAACCTAGGCAAAACTATTCAGGACATCGGCATAGGCAAGGACTTCATGACTGAAACACCAAAAGCATTGTCAACAAAAGCCAAAATAGACAAATGGGAGCTAATTAAACTCCAGAGCTTCTGTACAGCAAAGGAAACAATCATTAGAGCAAACCAGCAACCAACAGAATGGGAAAAAATTTTTGCAATCTACCCATTTGACAAAGGGTTAATATCCAGAATCTACAAAGAACTAAAACAGATTTACAAGAAAAATCAAACAAACCCATTCAAAAGTGGGCAAAGGACATGAATAGACACTTTTCAAAAGAAGACATATATGAGGCCAGCAAACATATGAAAAAATGCTCATCATCACTGGTCATTAGAGAAATGCAAATCAAAACCACATTGAGATACCATCTCACACCAGTTAGAATGGCGATCATTAAAAAATCTGGAGACAACAGATGCTGGAGAGGATGTGGAGAAATATGAACACTTTTACACTGTTGGTGGGAGTATACATTAGTTCAGCCATTGTGGAAGACAGTGTGACGATTCCTCAAGGGACTAGAAATAGAAATTCCATTTGACCCAGCAATCCCATTACTGGGTATATATCCAAAGGATTATAAATCACTCTATTATAAAGGCACATGCACACGTATGTTCATTGTGGCACTGTTTACAATAGTGAAGACCTGGAACCAACCCAAATGCCCATCAGTGATAGACTGGACAAGGAAAATGTGGCACATATACACCATGGAACACTGTGCAGCCATAAAAAACGATGAGTTCATGTCCTCAGGAGATGCTGAAGCTGATAGGAAGACAATGAGGAATCTATACCAGGAGTTTGCAACTGCCACTTGGACACAAGGGAATGGGTGACTTGGTGCTCTGGCAAGTAGATGGATATTATGGTCCTTAAATGATGATTTATGATGTTCCCTAATGGTAGTACACACAGCTGCGCTGAGCAGGGATTAGATACAACACAACAGGCTCAGTAAGCTGCTAAATATTGGCCAGGGAAAAGTTAGGTACAGGGTGACCTGATTTTCTATAGAACAACATGATGAGGTAGGCCAAGTAGAAATCAAGGGTCAGGGAGGATGTAGAATACAAACCGGGCTTAGCTGCTGCTGCCTATGAGGGATGAGGTCTGCCCACTCCATATGGCCCTGCCCCAGCTGTCTTCCAATTACTGTTGAGAGCCTACTCTCTTGATGATCAGTAAGAGCACCATTTGTTACTGCTGTCATTTTTATTCTTATTTTAGTACTAGGACATTACAGCACTTTAGCAACAACAACAACAAAATGCTTCACATGTAAGGCGAAAACTTAGGCAAAAAAAAGACCTGTTTCCATTAAATAAGATTATGTCCTGAAAACCTAAGCCATTGACAGATCTACAGTGACAGATGCACATCTCCATTTGTATTACCAGTTGTACAAAAAGGAAAAGAAAAAAGTGACACCAAAAACAAATAGCTAAAAAACAGCTTTGCCTCTGGGCAGATCGCAGACAGTCAGGGGTTCCTTTGCTGGATCCAGTACTTGTGGTTGAATTAAAGCTCCCTAAATGCTGACAAAGTCATTCTAGCAGCTAAACGTGTGTTTGCATAATTGATCTAACCAAGAGTAAATTAAGAATCTGTGTTTCTAGGATCCACTGCTGAAATGTACTGTGGCGTGGCCTAGCATGAAAAAAAATTATTAATCCCAGGAGCTGATAAGACAAGGGTTTTACCTGATGGCTGAGAACTATAATTTTTAAAAGGAAGTAATTTCTTCCAGCTGTGTGCCCCTTGTAGAGTTACAGAATTTCCAGCTATTTCAAACGCCTTAGCCCTTGCCCTGCTAAATTGGGCTCAGCCCAGCCCCAATTCCAAGAACGTAAATTTAATGTAAGACATACATACCTGATTAACATGGTGAAACCCCATCTCTACTGATAATACAAAAATTAGCTGGGCATGGTGGTGCATGCCTGTAGTCCCAGCTACTCAGGGGGCTGAGGCAGAAGAATTGCTTGAACCCAGGAGGCGGAGGGTGCAGTGAGCTGAGATCACGCCATTGCACTCCAGCCTGGGTAACAGGAGCAAAACTCCGTCTCAAAAAAAAAAAAAAAGACACATAATTTGAAGACGGCTGGGTGCATGCCTGAAATCCCAGCACTTTGGGAGGCGGAGGCCGGCAGATCACTTGAGCTCAGAAGTTTGAGACCAAGCTGGGCAATATAGCAAAACCCTGGCTCTACAAAAAATTAATTAGGTGGGTGTGGTGGCATGTACCTGTAGTCTCAGCTGCTCTAGAGTCTCAGGTGGGAGAATCAACTTGAACCCCAGAAGCGGAGTTTGCAGTGAGCCACAATCACACTATTGTACTCCAGCGTGAGTGACAGAGAAAGTCTCTATCTCAAATATATGTATATACATATATATATATATATATATATATATATATATATATATAAAGTATTTGTTCCCCATTTTCCCAACATCCTTTAATCTGGTGGGGATTAATTTGAGAAAATGCAAGCCCTAGGATGGAAAAAATGGGCCTCACATTGTGCTCAAAGTCAGTTTCATGTTAGTCTTACCTGGGCTATTATCATATCCCTCACCTCCAATCTGCAAGCTCTGTTGGCTCTATCTCTAAACTCTCTCCATTTCCAGCTCCAACCCAACTCCTACCCGTTGCAGGGTTCTTGAGTCACTCTTCTGGCCAGAAACCTCTGTGGCCAGTAGCATCTTTTCTCAAGTTTTGATCAGGCCCACTGAGCTCATTCCACCCACTTAGCCTGGCACACTGCACTCAGCTCATGCTACCTGCCTGGATCCCACACCTGCCAAGGGAGAGCCAGGCGTGAAGTGGTGAAGAGTATATAAGCAAGTGAGCATGGGTGCAGACTCTCTGTAGGGCTGCAGCTGGACCAGGTACACAGCAAGCAGCTTCCACAGCTGCCACCGGGAACACAGTGGCACCCAGAAGCTTGGAGACTCCAGGAACCGCAGGGCCCCAAAGAGGGTGTCATAGCCCTGGCTCTGGGAGCTCCCATGTCTGGGCTCCCCAAAGGGCTGTAGCTCTTCTCTCCTTCTCTTTAGCTCATCCACGTCTGCCACGTATTTGTCCTGTAAAGAGTTGAGCACTGCACTTGGGCGGGACACACCACCTCCCTCCTCCATGGCACACAGACCCAACACGAGGCAGAGACACAGAGACCCACAGCAGGGTGGGGACATTCCCATGCCGCGTGCACACACACACAGACCCACATGTGGACAGGGGTATCCTCCCGTGCTTGGCCTCAATGCAGGCCTGCTGGGCCCATATGTGGCTGTCGTCCTCATCACCCTCATGGTTCAGCTGGCACTCTTCCAGCCCCCTGGGGGATGACCAGGATGACCATCAGAGATGGACCTGGCCAGGAGATGTCTGACCACACCCCAACCCCAGGGCTAACATCCATGCTTCTTCCCCACATTTCCTGCTTGCCAGTAAAGCCTTCAATAAACATACAAACAAAAAAAGGAATGGTTCAGCAAATTCAGTCTGCGTGCATGGAGTGCCAGGACCGTGGGGAGCAGATCAGTCCTAAAGACAGATGTAAAAGCTGCAATGGAAGGAAGATAGTTCAAGAGAAGAAACTTCTAGAAGTTCATATTGACAAAGGCATGAAAGATGGCCAGAAGATAACATTCCATGGTGAAGGAGACCAAGAACCAGGACTGGAGCCAGGAGATATTATCACTGCTTTAGATCAGAAGGACCATGCTGTTTTTACTAGATGAGGAGACCTTGGCATGTGGATGGACACACAGCTGGTTGAAGTATTGTGTGACTTCCAAAAGCTGACGTCTACTCTTGACAACTGAACCACAGTCACCACCTCGGAGATATCAAGTGTGTACTAAATGAAGGCATGCCAATTTACTGTAGACTGTATGAAAAGGGTCACCTAATCACCGAATTTCAGGTAAACTTTCCTGAGAATGGCGTTCTCTCTCCTGATAAACTGTCTTTGCTGGAAAAACTCCTATCGGAGAGGAAGGAGTAGAAGAGACTGATGAGATGGATCAGGTAGAACTGGTGGACTTTGATCCAAATCAGGAAAGACGGCGCCATTACAATGGAGAAGCATATGAGGATGATGACCATCACCCCAGAGGTGGTGTTCAGTGCCAGACCTCTTAATGGGCCAGTGAATAACACTCACTGCTGGCATTTTATGTGCAGTAGTGAATGAGTAAGACTGTAATCATAATATGCTCACTATTTGCTCTTATTTTTGTTTTAATATTTTGTTTTAACTATACTAGTGCTTTAAAAAGTTAAATGAAGAATAAAAGCAAATAGAAAAGCTCAAAAAATATATCCTAATCCTTTCTGCAACTGGTCATTCTGACATCTGCTCAGCTCTGGCTGAGCCCAGGGCTTTTAGGGGCCTCAGTGGGGAGTAAGTCCATGCTGATTGGTCCCTGGGCGGCCATGGGCAGGCCCAGAAGAGGCACCACAAGTTCCCACTCTGGTCTGTGGGACTGGCAGCCTGGCCCCCAGCCTTCAGGCCCTCCCTGGCCTGAAGGGGCAGGGCTCCCATTGTCCCCAGCTCCTGCTGGCTCCATGGAATGTGCAGCCCCAGCCACACCTCCCTGCTGCAGCCAGCATGATGGTAGCAGCAACTCCAGATGGGCTGCCACTGCCATGACTACCACTCTAAGTCACCATTATCTCTTCCCTCTCTTTGGCTTACTGCAAAGGCTCCTAACTGGTCTCTGCTTCCACTATTTTCCCCTGCAGTGCGTTCTCCACACAACAGACAGATCTTTTCCTTTGTAATTTTTAATATGCATTTTTAAAAACCTACATAAAAGTATAGTATAATAAATCCCCAGTTATTTAATTATTTTTCTGAAATATATCAAAGCAAATCCTAGGCATCATAAAACATCACCCCATGCCATTTCCATATTATGCATCTCAAACGAATACAGACTTTCTTATTTATGTCTATCTCTCTGGATATGCTTAACAGACTTTCTTTTAGCCCCAAATTATGCTATTATCACACTTAACAAAATAAATAATAATTACATAATATCATCTCTCTAATACCAAGCCCATATTCAAATTTCCTAGGTTGCCTCAAAGATATGTTTTTACAATTAGTTTGTTTGAATAAGGATCCAAACTAGATCTAAACATAGTGTTTGCTTTTGTCCATTAAGCATCTTGCATTCTATAGTAATCCTCCCTTCTTTCTTTTCATGCCATTGATTATCCTCTTTAAAATATAAATCGATCAGGTCATTCCCTGCCTCAACCCTTCTGCTCCCCAACAGCTTGCCTTTACAGTTAGAATAAAATCCAAAATACTTACCATGATCATATGATTTGGCTCTGTGTCCCCACCCAAATCTTATCTTGAATTGTAATCCCCCAGTGTTGAGGGGCGACCTGGTGGGAGGTGACTGGGTCAGGGGCCAGTTCTCCCCTTGCTGTTCTTATGATACTGAGTGAGTTCTCAGACCATCTGATGGTTTTATAAGTGTTTTATAAGTCTTGCTCACTTCTTCTCTCTCCTGCTGCCCTGTGAAGAGGTCCCTTCTAATGTGAAGAAATTTATGAAGAAAAGAGGTTTAATAGACAAACAATTTCACAGGCTATACAGGTAGCATGGCTAGGGAGACCTCAGGAAGCTTATAATCATGGCAAAAGGCGAAGGAGAAGCAGGCAAGTCTCACATGGCCAGCAGGAGAAAGAGAGAGCAAAGGGAGAAGTGCCACACACTTTTAAGCAACCAGATCTTATGAGAACTCACTATCACAAGAACAGCAAGAAGGAAATCTGCTCCCATGATCAAATCACCTCCCACCAGGCCCCCTTCACCACTGGGGATTAAAATTCAATGTGAGATTTGGGTGGGGACACAGAGACAAATTATATCCATGTGTATACATGGGAGACCTTCAGAATGAAGACCCCTGGAGGATTTCTTTGGAAGGGGTTATTGCTGTCTTATGAGAGTCAACTTCTTCTATTCAAGGGGAAAGGTTAAAAATGGGGAGTACTGCCTCCTTCAATCCTGGAGTGAGAGAGCTTTAGAGGATCATTTAGAGAACATCCTGTGTATTCTCTCAAGTTGGTCAGGTGAGAGGAGTGTTAGATATTGAACTTATGCTTGACTCACTGAAAAAACTTAAGTGGTTAGTCTGGGAAAACAGGACAGAGGGTGTTATATTGGTTCCAGTCTGCATTTTCAGAGCCTGTTGTAAAGAGAGATGCTTGAATATATTCTGTGGACTGACAGACCTTGCAAGAAAAATCAGAGAGCTGTTATCTTGAGTTCTGCTCAATGTGGGCATCTAGAAGAGGCAGTAATTCCAGCAAGAAGAAGAAGCTGAAAGTAGAGGCCTATACTTCCTAGGGGCTAACAAAGAATAGCAAATAAACTCTCACAATTAAGATGCATCCACCTGGGCCAAATAGTCAGCTTTAACCATCTATCAGGCCTAAAGAACACAAAATATCCCAGGCCACTCTCGCAAGGACTGCCCCATCCCTTGCCACCACCAGCACCCCCTCACACACACTACCCCTTTGAAAGAAGCAATATACCAGTCAGGAAGAGGTAAGATGGGAAAGAAGACAAAATAAGACAGAAAAAAACTACACCCCCTTCCCCAGAGTCAGGATGCCATCAACTACAGGCCATAATTCAAAGGTGCTAATTCAACCTTTGGATGAAATAGAAGCACTTAATCATTGTTTTCCACCAAACAATCCAGTTTTTAAACTGAGGCTGTTTTTACAACTTAAAGTGACTAAAGGAATTGTCTATAACCTAGGAGCTGGTAGAACTATCATGAGATCTACCCACATTTCCATTATAGGAACATATCACGACCACTGCATATACTTCAAATACGCAGTGGATGACAAAAAATGTTATACTTTGAGACTACAAAGAATGCATGTAGTTTGTCAGCTTGTTATCTGTCTCCCTTCACTGGCAGGCAAGCCTTGCAAAAGTGTGGACTTTGTCATCCTAACATTGTATCCTCAGAACCAAGAAGAAAGTCTGGCATGTATTAGTAATAAATATTATCTAATATTGATCAATGGGCTTATCTTTAGGTTCCCCAAGTTTCAGGTTTCCAAACAACTGACCTCCTGCTTTGGGGCTCATTTAAAGGGTCTAAGATCACTGTATTAGATAGGATAAGCTAACTGTCATGACAGCAACCCAAAATACTATTGGTTTAACAGAAAACAAGTTTATTTCTTGTTCATGAAAAGACCAATGAGAATATTTCTAGGCAACTCTCCTCCAACCAGTGACTCAGGGATCCAGGCTCTTTCCACTTTGTGATGCTATCCTCTTTAACACGCAGTCTCTAAGGCTTGGAATGGGAAAGGAGTGGAGTAAGGCAAAGCTGATCATTCATTTCCTTAGTTTATACATGGCATAATCATTTCTGCTTACATTCTTTTGCCCAGTGCTAGTCCTATGGGTACAGCTGAAGACAGTAGATTGAGGAACATGGAATCTAACCAGATAATTGCATCCTAACAATACCTCTACACTGTGGAAGGAGAGCTTGCATGTTTGGTGGTCAGCTATCACTGTTGCCTCAGTAGTCACCTGGAAGGACTGGTTTAAGGCCTGTCTTACTTTTATAAGTGAGTGCTCCTCCCAGCATAACGGAGCCCAGATCATGAACCCTTGCTAGATATCTGGGCTTGACTAACCCCAGTATTACCTCCCTGGTGCCTGCTGTTACTTAGTCCAGCTTCCTCTCAGCTTTACCATCTGTAGAAACCCTGCTATTTCATCAGGAATCTTAGAACTGAGTATCTGCCTGCCACATCAGTAAAGACATCCATACCTAGTTCCGTAGGCATAAAAAGCCCGGGTCCACCCTGACAGCTGGGTCAGCTTACAAGCACCAGTTCCATCCAACGAGGCCCCTCTGCTCTCACCCATGCTGCTGTGAGGAAACACTCAAACCTCTAAGAGCCCTAAATACCTCCTTCTCTTTACAGACAGAGAACTAGCACCCTGGAGCTGGTGGACGGTGGACATCCATGGTCACACTGTCAGTAGCAGAGCTGGGATCAGAGCCCACACTTCTTGCCACTCTTTACATGGCACTACACATCAAAGGCTGCCATCTCCTCAATTCCCCAATCACCTGCTGTTCTACTCAAAGTGAACTTCTGTTGTCCCCATATCCTGAGAGCCTTCCCAGGCCTCTGCCCGGCCTTACGTCCTTCACTTGACCCCCAAGACACGCCTTCCCTGGCAGTCTTCTCCTACCTGCTGGGCTGGTACCCTATTCACCCTTTCTTCTTGGGTCTCCTTTGGAGATTTTCCTTCATGCTGAGCATCTCCCCAGCCCCACCTTTATGGGTGAGGAAACTTAACACCCAGAGGGCTGAGGTGACCTGTGGAGCTCACACTGCCAGTTGTGCACTTTGAAGAAGGCTCATCCACACATACATCTTTTGCATCTCCCAGACACTCTTGGCCTTACCTCCCCTGTTTCATGCAGCTGTCACTCCTCGGTGAGCTCAGACCATCTTCAGCTCAAACCTGATCCGCATTATCCCAGCCCTGCTTGCTTCACTGTGTCTAGGTGAACCTGGAAACGACAGGGTTAACGTTGGTCAGGTTGTGGAGGTGCAAATCTCTAACCAAAGAGGGATGGGAACTAACTGAACGGTTCTCTTTCTTTCCTCCAGATAGACAATTGTGAGAACTTGAATGGCTTCTCAGGCAATCCTGTGCGACCAGGCAATCAGCGAGTAGCCCACTTGCCAGTGTGTCTTTGAATGAGCTCTCTCTTCATTATGCTTCACTCCCTCTAACTCTCACTCATGCTGTCTGGTTCCCACTCTCCCAAGAAACCCTCACACATCAGCCTTTGTCTCAGGCTCTTCTGTCCAGGGACCCCAGCCTCACACAGAGACACAGCGGGGACGTCTGGCTGCTCAGCTGGGTACCATGAGAGGGTGTTTGTCTTGGTTAATTTGCCATTCCCTATGTCTTGTCCTCAGTCTTGTTGGTTCAGAAACTTAACTTTTTCTCAACCAAAAGGGGCAGCCCCAATTACCCAAGCCACAGGATGCCAGTCTATTTAGTTACCCTAGAAGACAACTGTCAAAGAAGACAGAGTTTTGAGCGCACCTAATGAGGGCATCTTCTCCCTGTAGCTGAGACAGGCTGCATGGGCAGAGTGTGCCTCGGTGA